ATGGACTTTGATGGACTCTGATGGACTGATGGACTCTGATGGACTGATGGACTTTGATGGACTCTGATGGACTGATGGACTCTGATGGACTGATGGACTTTGATGGACTCTGATGGACTGATGGACTCTGATGGACTTGGTTAACTTTAGATGGATGACTCAGCTCCTCTGATGCGGTTTCAGCTCCTAGTCCTTCTGAGGACAGTCTGCTTCAGTTTAGCCCGGGACATGTTGGCTTCCTGTTGAAACAATTCAAGCAAAAAACAAAAGGAGAATTAAGACGTTAAAATCTTTGATCTGTCTTCACTCCTTTGGTCATAACATGTAGATGGAGCAGCTGATGGTTTAAACTAGAGCTGAACTCAGGATCATCCAGCCAAAGGACTTAGTCAGATCTTTAAGGGGACATTTCCTGGCAGATTAAGGGGGAACTAAGGAGAGCAGCAACAGAGACAGTAGGTCTGCTACAGTATAGATTAGGTTGAATAGATCTATGGCTTCCTGTCAGACACTTCCCCCAGCATCGTGAGAACATTGGAGCTGGCAGCAATCTGCCGTCCTGGTTTGCTTCTACATTTTGGGCTTAGCTCCTTTATAACTCAATGACTGCCTTCTAAACCAGCTAATGCTGCTGAGAACCGAGCAGATGGACCCAGTTTTTAGGGCAAGAGAGACTGTGGGAAAGTTCAAAACGTTTATTAGCACAAACATAACAAACAGAAGTGCAGAGCGGGGGATCAGGGGACAGCAGCGACTCGGGGGGGCACCGCCAAACCACTGACACTCTGGTTTAACAGTTAGGGTTAGTGAGACTGGGAGGAAGGCAGGATCTAGCTGATGGACTGCCAATGAGCTGCGGTGCAGAGCCGCCCAGAGTGTCCCTGATGCAGCAGCCCCAGGGAGAAGGCAGGAATCCTGGCCAGGTCAGGGAAAACAGATCAGAACAGGACAGTTCTGGGATCCAGGAGTCCATAGACCCACCTGGGGTTCTGATCTGGACAGGAACAGATCCAGGGTTCCAGGAATCCATGGAATGTTAGGGGAGGTTCAGAGCTCCATGAGTCCAGCAGCCAGCTCAGACAGACAGGCTCAGTGGCTGAGGGACAGAGATAAGACATGTTACCAGGAGAACTGCAGAACTTTAAACTGGACTCCCCCAAGAGCCAGGCCTACGGGACTTAAACCCCCCCATGGAGGACAGACTAGAGGGGGGAGTGGGGGGGGGGGTTATGTCGTTCTGGGGCTCTGACTGTTATTGTTGTTCTGTTTCAGGCCTGAGGGGGGCACTGCTCCTCCCAACGGACTTCTACTTTGAACTCTCCCTGGATTGTGATGACACCCTGTCTGAAGGAGATGTGGAGGAGCCTAAGTTGAGGACAGAAAATGAGAAAGCTAATGAACTTCCTGTGTGACTGACTGCTCCCCATCATGTCCTCCACCTGCTGGCTCAAAGGACTCTTCATCCTCCTCATCATCTTACTGCCTCTCTGCTCCTCCCAAGTCAGCAGTCCGTTTGACAGCTGCAGCTCTCCGTCGGCCTCGGAGGCACGGCGAGGATGGCAGTTCCTCCCATGTCAGCCACCTTCCACCAACATGAAGGAGTTCATGCAGATCAGGGTGGATCCTCCTGGGATCACCTGTGGAAACCCACCTGAAAGGTTCTGCACATTGGTCAGTGTGATTATCACATACCTCACCTGTACTGTTTGTCCACAGCAGAGTGTCTGACTGCCCTGGCTGTTGGCTGTCCACCGAGTCAATCAGAGAGACAGCCTGGGTGAGCCAGTCTGCTTTATCTAACACAATTCAATTCAGTTTATTTCTATAGCGCCAATGCAATCCCTCACACTAAGCATGCTTGTAGCGACAGTGGAGAGGAAAAACTCCCTTTTAACAGGAAGAAACCTCCAGCAGTGTGAGCGGCCATCTGCTGAGGCCCACTGGGGTTTAAGGAGACAGAAGCAGACATAGAAAAAACGGTTTCTTAAGCAGAGGTTTAATTCCAGCAACCTTAAAAGCTTTAGGTACATATCCCTGTAACAGAGATAGATTAATCACATCTAGAATGGAGGAGGAGATCAAAGGGAATACCTCCTTAAATAACCTGGTTGGAACTGGATCTAACATCCCAGTTGAAGGCTTAGATGAAGACAATAGTTTTGCTAACTCTGAAAGTTCAACTGGATCAGAGCAGTCTAAACCCGGTTCAGATTCCATGACTACCTCAGATGCTGCCCCCCCCCCTCCAGAGATAAACCAAACACACCTCTGGATGGTTTCGCCGATAAAACCGACCCCTATCAGGAACCTCCACTGATATGCTAAACAGGGAAGGTCTAACCTAAATCTAGAATCTATGTCCTTCACGGGTCGAACGCTGTCCAGCAACACCTCAGCTCCGGATTTGAACCAGAGACCTTCTACCATTGATGGGCAATGGGATAAAACTGAGATCCTGGCCTGGTTGATGGGACAGGTGTTGTGAATGAAACGGTGCCCAGCTTGAAAGAGCTCCTGTGTGACATTTCAATTAGTGGAAAAAATTACAGAGGGGAATATAAAAATATTTTATTAACCAAAACTTTCACGACCCCCATGCAGTACCTCAGTTGACCCGCTAGGGGTCGCGGACCACCTGTTGAAGACCTCCGGTCTAGAAGGTAAACAATCCGATGCATCTTCCTCTGTTTGAATAGAATTTGCATTGAATTAAAAATCAGAAGAAGAAAGTAGAAAAAAGTCACCCAGTGAGCCTCTGCAGGGCCAGGAGCCACGGTTTGGACACTGCAGAGGGTCCATGTGTCCTCCTTGCTGTCCAATGGTCCCCTTTGGAACATACATCAATAATGTTTTAAAAAAAGAATTTAAATAATAAATTCAATTGTAAATAACTGATTGCAAATGGCAGGAAGGGGTCCAACGCTTCAGCTCAGTGGGTCTGCCTTCATTTAATCCATCATTTTCAACATTTTTAGGAAACTTAATGACATTTTATGGAGACTCGCCACTCAGAAAACAAAGACGGCATCTTTAGGCAGAGACTAAAACATCTCAGAGAAAAAAGAAACATGATATGAACTATGCCTTGAAGGAGTCACACCTCCCAGACTGAAATCTGCTGTTTCTGTCATATAAAATATTCTAGACAGGTTGGTTAGTTGTTAGAGCTGGTTAGTTAGACTGTGATGTTTTTTAGAGGATCATTAGTTAGACTCGGATGGTTGTTGGAGGATAGTTAGTTGGAGGTTAATTTGTTTGACTGGCCTAGTTTTTTTGAGGAT